ACACACACACACACACACACACACACACACACACAGTTTAAAAGTCAATAACCTATGTAATCAAACTGTTTTTTTTTTTAAGCAAAGTCTTATATTATGGTTTATTCCCTGTGGTTAAGTTGAATTTAATTGCCCAAGATTTTTTGAAGTCTTATCACTTCACCAAGGCTTCACTTTTGTCTTTAGATACACTCTAATCTCTAAAATGTCAATAGACTAAATCTGCAGGCTGTTTTCTACCGATCACCACTCCCCAGAAAAATGAAGAATTCCATTTGCCAAGTCAGGTATGATGCTGATGATGTCAGGAAGCTGTGAGGACTTCTCATGTAGTTTCCCACAGAGTAAGGTCCATACCACCCAACCTTACTCAGCCAGTGAATTTCTGAAGTTTTCTTCCAGAATAAAAGTTGTAAAGGTCTATGACACCTCTTTCTTGCTCACCAGTGGAGGTGATGGATGGAGGAGTTAATAAAATTACCGGAATCATAGGAGACAAGGGAAAGAGTTGTGTTTCATGACTGGTTTCTCATTGCAATCATGTTTACTGATTACCTTTGCTCTGCCATGAGGGCAAGGGTTTTGAGAACCAGCCAGAAGAGGATCTAGTTCAATTTCCGTGAAAGAAAGCCAATGTGTCATTCCAATACAATAGCCATTCCTGCATGGAGTGAGACAGTGGAAGACCCTTAATCCTTCAGTGCTTTAACTGCTCCACAGATAGCAGAAGGAGAGAGGGAGAGGAAGCTGGAAATTACTTCACCCTTCAATTTCAAGCAGCAGTGCAGGGCTCACTGGGGACTAGAGTAGGCCTGTGGGAACAGCCTTGATCACCAGTAATCATGAAACTCGAGAGATCCAGAAGCCTGTGGGGAGCATTACCCTCCCCCCATGAAGTTGTTTGAGGGAAAACAGACTGGGTGCTGTTGTGCTGCCAAATTGATGCAAACCCATACAAGAAGCTTTCACAAGAGCCCCTCAAACTCATCAGCCTCCTACAGCATCTCCAAATGGTGTCAAATACACACCTGGGGGTGGGTCCAGAGCTGGGGCAAGCCTGGGATCCCTGGCAAGCTTTAGCCTGTGCTCACCATGCTACACCTCACCCCCAAGAAGACCAAAACCTCTTCCAATTCAATAGCATAGCAACTGCCAACAGCAAGGTATGTTCCATGGCAATTTGCTGGGTGATTTTGGAAGATTTTTGTTTAACCACCTGGACACACACATACTTGCTATACTACAAGTACAGAATTCTCAGTAAGCAGACTTACTCACCAAAGAAGGTGATCTGTGGGGGAGTCAACAAAATTCAGTGGTGGTCCTTTCAGGCCACTGACTTCAAGTGGCAAGAGACAAGGGTCTCTTGTTATGTTATCTTGGCTTCCAAAGTTGGCTGAAGTCCAGAGAATCATAAAGTCATTCAAGAAAGCTAGAATGACCTTCTTGCAGGGAAGACAGAAGGACTTTCAGTTTAGAGCAATTCAAACATGCATAACATTTCTTGGATTACTAGTAATAATAATTAGAAAGGATTGACTTTGAGAAATTTTTCTCAAATCAAGGCTCCTGCTACTTTGGTTCCACCTTTTCTCTCTAGAAGGACAGAAGCAGCATCTCCCAGAGTGCTGCCTGCCTCAGAAACTCCGGCATCCCTAGCCCCCTCAGGCCCAGGACTTGAGGCCCCGCTGTATCAGTGCTGCCTTCTGGCTGGAGTCACAGCTCCCTCCACCGAGGAGCAGGTGGAGAATGTCCCTCTAGGTAAAGGTGCCGGCAGCTTCTCCAGGACACCCTCCCCACTGTCAGTCCCCCTCCCCCAACCTCTTCTTTCCACACTGCCCCCTGAATTCAGGGAATTTCCCCAGCATCCCAAAGCTTGAGTTTCCTGTCAGTGGGTAGAGATGAATGTAGATAAAAGGAGTGCAAAAGGCACTAGGAAGCCTCAGTGCTCCGGATCCTCCAATCTCTGCTCCTCCACTCAGTTCAGGAACCCGCGACTGCTCTCAGCGCTCTCTTGACCACTATGAGCCTCCTGTCCAGCTGCGCGGCCCCTGTCCCGGGTCCTTCGGGCTCCTTGTGCGCGCTGCTCGC